ATACCACAGAAATATTAAAGATTTATGAATAGCTGTATGCCAACAAAAAATCAGTCATTTTTTGGTACCTCAGTAGCAAAGTATCTGAACTAGAAAACAAGGAAGAAATGGAGAAATTCCTGGACACATACACCTTACAAAGGTTGAGTCCTGAGTAGAAAACCTGAAGAGACCAGTAGTGAGTAATGAGATGGAACTAGTAATTTAAAACAAAGTCTCCTGGTAAAGAAAAGCCCAGGACCTGATGGCTTCACACTGGGTTCTGTCAGATATCTAAATAAGAATAATATTGATTCTTAGTAAATTGTTCCCAAAAATTTGAAGAGGAAGGAATTTTTGGAAAGTCGTTCTACAAGGCCCACATTACCCTGACACCAAAACCAAACAAGGACACAATAAAAAAGGAAAGCTCTAGACCATTATCCCAGATGAACGAATAGGCAGAAGTCCTCAACAAAATACTACTGAGCTCAGTCCATCCGGCAGCAGTCACCAAGGTTATTCACCATAACGGAGTTGGGTTCATGTGAGGGAGCAAGCATGGCTCACATCTGCAGCCTATCAGTAGGGTAAAGGACAAAGCTGTGATCATCTCAGTGGATGCAGAAAGATGCCACAAAGGCATCTGATAAAATTCAACATCCTCATGATGAAAACTCTGAACAGCTAACCTAATACTGACGGGGGAATAACCGAAAGCTTTTTCCCAAAGTTCTAGAACAAGGTAAGACACTTGCAATACTTTTATTTAACATAGTACTCTAAGTCCTAGCCAGATCAGTCAGGCAACAGAAAGAAAGAAAGGGCATATAAGTTGGAAAGAAGAAATCCAATATTCACTGTATGCAGATGACATGATCTCCAAAGACTCTAGACTGTTACAACTCATAGTTAATTCAGCAGCATTTCGTGATACAAAATTAACGGGTAAAAATCAGTCATTTTTTGGCACCTCAGTAACAAAGTGTCTGAACTAGAAATCAAGGAAGCGTTCTCATTTATAACAAATGCCTCACAATAGATGTAACCACAAAAAAATAGTCAAAGCCATTTTGAGCAAAAGAACAAAGTAGGAGGCATCCCACTTTATCTGACTTCAGAATATACTACAAAACTATAGTAATCAAAACAGCATGTTAAAACAGACACACAGAGCAGTGGAACAGGATAGGCCAAAAGTAAACCTACACATCGCAGCTAACTGGTTTTCAGCAAAAATGTTCAGAACATGCATTGGAAACAGGACAGTCTTTTTAGTAAATGGTGCTGGGAAGATTGGATATCCACATGCAAAAGAATGAAACTGTCTCTTACCAGTTACAACAGTCAACTTAAAGTAGATTAAAGACTTAAGTGTGAAACCTGAAATTGTAATTACTAGAAGAAAATACAGGGGAGTTGCTTCAGGGCTTTGGAATTGCCAAGACTCCTCGAATCAGGAAACATAAGCAAAAGTGGAAAAATGGGGCTATATCAAATTAAAAGCCTGATGTTCAGCAAAAGAAACAATCCGAATCAAGAGACAGCCTATAGAATGGAAGACCATATTTGCAAGTTGTTATTTCCTATAAGGGGCTAATATACAGACTATATAAGAAACTTTAAAAACTAGCAAAACAAAAACGAAAAACAAATAGTGAAGTTATTTAAAGGAACAATAGACCCAAGAAAACATTTCTCAAAGAAGACCTGCAAATGGCCAGTAGGTGTATGAAGAAATGCCCAACTTCACTAATCTGAAAAGTGTGAATCCAAAGCACGGTGAGATACCACCTCCAGTAAGAATGACTGTTCTCAAAAAGACAAAGGTAAGTGCTGGTTTACTTGTGTTCACATAATGATCTGCATTTCTTTCCATGTTGCCATGAATGACATGTTGAAAAAGGCAGCCTTGCATACTGTTGATGAAAAGGAATATAGAAAAACACTACCGAGGTTCTTCAAAAGATAGGAACTATCATATGATCTAGCAGTTCCACCTCTGGGCATATATCTGCAAAAAATGAAATCAGTATGATGATGAGATGTCTGCACTCTCATGTTTACATTTGTGGCAGTATTTATAGTATCCAAGAAATGGAAACATCCTAAATGTCGGTGAACTCGCGAATGGATAAAGAAGAAATGGCACATGCATACCACTGAATATCGGTCATCCCTCCCCCACCAAAAAAGAATGAAATCCTGCCATTGATGACAACATGGAAAGAAATGCAGATCACTATATGAACTCAAGTAAACCAGGCACAGAAAGACAAGCACTGCATGATCTCACTCACATGTAAAAATCCAAAACCATCAGTCTATGATAGAGATTGAGAGTAGAGTGGTGGATACTGAAAGCTGAGAGAACAGAAGGGGAGAGAGAAAGATGGGGAAAGGTTGGTCAGTTGGATAGGAGCCCAGAGTTCCATTGTGCTGTTGAAGGATGGTTATAGAGAATAGTTATGTACTGTACATTTCAAAAAGCTAAAGGAAAGGAATTTGAATGTTGAATGAGACAGATGTGGTTAACCTGATTCAAGTATCATGACATGTATACATGTATGGAAATATCACATGGGATCCCATAAATATATACAATATCTATGTTTCTATATTTTGGTTAAAATGATTGTAAATTGTAGAACTCTACTATATTGGTGGGAGCAACCCAAACAAAATGCATATGGCATGTTATTCAACCTTAAAAAAGAGTGAAAATCCTGACATGCTACACCCTGATGAACCTTAAGGACATTGTGCTGAGTGAGATTATCCAGTCACAAAAGACACATATTGTGTGAATCCATTCATATGACAGAGAAGGCTTGCGATGTCACCTGGAAAGGCCAAGTCTGGGTGAGTGCTGGCTTGTGAGCCAGCGTGATGTTCTGTCCTCAGTGAGTCAGAATGCTCTCTCGGCACCAGGCCCTCACCTGCCCGCCCCAGCTCCTGCACACTGTTGTGTGGTGCATCTGCCTCGTGGAGCGGAGCAGCAAGCTGCATGCTGCTCGTCTGGAGGGGGTGGTTTTTCATGTTAGTTTCCATCTACGTAACTGCCACTTTCAAGTCTTTACAAAATTCTAATTCCTGGAGAATGATCATATGAGAGGAATGATATGATGAATGGGTATAAGGTTTGTGGACTTTCAGAATGTTAAGGTTCAATTGGGTAAAGTGTGACATTAACAGGGAGGGTTGCATTTGTTAATTTTGACCAGTCTGCATTCAACTTTCTCAGAACCCAGGAGTAATCATTTTTAAACATGCTCATTATGACTATCATCAAAATTATGAACATCATCAAAATTTTCAGCAGCTTAATGAGTAAATATAGTTATCTGGGTTATTTGTGTATATCTGTGTGCTAACCAGCTGCTGTTGAAAAGACCATAGGTAACTGTCTTTACCTTGCAGGTTGCTCATTAGTTCCCAGACCTGTCTTTGCTGTGCTGAGCAGTATCACTCTTTACTATTTAAAACTGGCAATGCTGTGTTCTTTATAGACATATTTTCTGCTACATTTTATACAAGTACTATCTCTTAGCTGCCTGAGCAATTTAAACACTCAATAATAACTGCATTTTACAGAAGCATCACTCATTTGTATATGAAAACAGTCTATAGAAAATGTCAATCCTGTACTGGTTTATTGAGGTCGGTTTTTTTTATTACTTATATTTCATTATTCTTATTGTGGTTTAAGAACAGCATCGTAAGTTCTATACTGTTATTGTATGTTATTGAGCATGTAAGAATATACTTCATTATTGAAGACAGATATGCCTTTTAAGTTCTTTCTGAAGATTGGCTTATAGGGCGTGGTGGAGACTGAGGCAGACTAGAGAGCATTACACCAAAAAGGGGTGGCACAGTTGACTTGCAAGTAGAAATTGTTTTTTGGATAAAATCATGCATCCAGTTTTTGAGTGTTGGTAACTGTTGTGGGGGGAAAAAGCTTAGACTTTTGCAGGCCAGATAAAACCAAGTGAGCTTGCCTAGACTGTGGGCCATCCAGTTATCTCCTCCTCTAAACCTGGCAGTCACCTGCTCCTCTGCCTCTTGGCCACATGAGCCCTGGGCAGCCCAGCAGCCATTTTAAGGGTAAGTCATAGACAAATCCTAATGTTGTGGCTGTTCCTATTCTTATCAGTAGAAATGGAGGCTATCTCTGAATTACCTGTTTTTGTCCAACCTTCTGTTGAATGAGGTCCTGGCGTATTCACTAGGCCATTCTAGGGAATAGGCAGACGGAGGGAATGAATTAGCCAGTGTTTATCAAAGCAGGCCTCTTCTGCTGCAGAACTCCTCTCCTCAGTTTACCCTGAATCGTGCCACTTCATTCCTTGGAGTTCAGGAGGTATTCAATTCATAAAGTCCAAAGTAGCTATATGGCAAAGTCAAATCTGGAGGCCTGGTTCTGACCCCACCGCGCAGTGCATTTCCTGACAGCTGAGAGGTAGGGATGCCTGGGTGAGAGAGCATCTCCAAAAGAGGAGGAGCCAGCAGGGCAAAGCTGCGCTTCATCAGTGGTTGTCTGTTTTTACTTTTACTAAATTAAAATGACTTTATAATCCATTCACCATACAGAATTCTTTTAAAGCATGAGGGTTGAATTCCTAAGAATTTGGTAAGCTGAAAGGTAATTGCCAGTCTTGTCAGGACTCTGCTCTCTAGGCTGTGCACCCCTGGACAGTATTGCTTGTCCCCTCTTGTTCTGCTTGTGGTTAGGACATAGTGGTTACTATGGATTGGAGTCAGGAGTACACCAGCAGTATTTGAGGTACCAAAGTCACTTGCTGATGATGTAAAATCCTCAAGTTCTTTGGTGGTGGTATTAATTGAGTAAACTGAGAAATTGGGCTGTGTTTTTAAGTAGTTTCCAGTGCCTAATTTTGACTTATAAACTTCTGGCCCTGGTTTATTTGTGCAATAACTGACTGAACAAATGAAGCACTGAAGTGCTAAAATGGAAAGGTGTCTAATGACCGCCTGCCTTTCTTCTCCTAACCCTTCAGGGGGAACTCAGCGGTTACCAAGGGCCATCGGGATGTCTCTGGCCAAGGAGCTCATCTTCTCTGCACGAGTGCTTGATGGACAAGAGGCCAAAGCCGTGGGCTTGATCAGCCACGTCCTGGAGCAGAACCAGGAGGGGGATGCGGCCTACAGGAAGGCCCTGGACCTGGCCAGGGAGTTTCTACCTCAGGTACTTCTGCCTGAGTTCCCCTGCTTCTCCATGTAGGTGATTCCATAGCACAAGACTAAAACAACACCCGGCGTACCGTTGGCGGACTTTCCGGTTTAACATTTCTTGTTTGACAGATAAGAAGTTAAGATCCTTCAGAATTAAAACCAGAACTTGAAGATAACACGAGGGTGATATTGGGACCACACTTTGATTTCACTTTCATGTTTCATGTGAACAGCATTTGGCCCCTGTGACACCGTTCATGTGTATGTACGGGTATAGAGCACATTTGACCAGACATGACAGTGTCTCTCCTAACAAGTAAGGAGACTGATCTAACTCGCTTTCACCGTGAGGGCTTTGTTTGGGTGACCTGCTTGAGAAGCTGCACTTGAAAGCATCGTGTGTCTTTCTTTTTCTGATGATTCGGGTATTGCTTCGTGGCCTTACTGTGTGCTGTATGATCCTCACAAGTACATGAAAAAATCTGGATCACATGTGCAGTTATTGGACTGTACGTGGAAACACTAAGAACCGTGCATTGATGGCTTCTTTTTAAGGGATTTTTTTTTTCTGTCACCAGTTGTATGTTTTCAAATGTTCCTTTGGTCTGAAATCACAGATTAAAGGATTTAAACTTAAGAGGAAGAGTCTCCTTTTGCTGTGTAAGTGATTAGTCAGAATCTCTTTGTCCGTCATGGAGCTTGAACTTTTATAGCTCCCATAACCAGCCATTTCTGGAGTCAAAATAAGTTCCTCTCTGTATTTGGTTTACTTACCTCAAACGGGATTTATAATCTAAAGGATCAAGGCCATTGATCCTTTAGAAATGTCATGAAGGCTTGCACATGCCCCCCACACTTGCCCAGAGTTCCCCTTTCCCGAAGGCTTTCGTCACCCAGCACGTGATAACCTCTTGATCCTGCCCCACTCTGCTACGCTCATCCCCAGAGCTGTCACACAGGGCCACACTTCAGGTGTTGATGGTCCCTCTTAATCAGCTTGTAGCCTATCGGCCGTCTCAGGAAAGAGCTCTTCTTTAACTTAGTCCCTGTGTGAGGTAACATGGAGCCTTTTACTCAGTAGAGGCCAGGTGCTTGTTAAATTGATGGAGAGAGAGCAAATAAAGAGATTTTACTGCTGTTAAAAAGAGACTTTCATTATAACCTTGGTATTTCCCCCAAATATTAGAGAATTATCTGCCTAAAGACAGATTAAAGGTAAAGTGTCAGGGAAAGTAATAGTTTAAATATTGGTTTAATGACTTTCCTTGGCTTGAAATCTTATGACCAAGGTCTATTTGAATTGAAATCGAGGGGTGTATCCAGATTCTGATTACTCACGGCACTGCACGACCTGATACGTGGCTCTGTGCTCCGGAGCTCCGTGGAGGAGGCTCTTGGACGCCTTAGTTTCCAGCTTGCCTTTTCTCCTGGGGGCCTCTTGCAGTTAATGCCGTTCACTGTTCACATCCACCTGCCTGAGCGCGGCTGGCACCCTCTGCCTCCCTCTCTCCTCAGCGGATCTGACAGTGAGCTGCCTTCATTCCTGCGGAAGCCAGAGTCCATCACTACCTCAGGCAGGCCTCTTCACCTTCCCTCAGAAGGACACTCCTCTGAGAACTTCAGTGGTTAAAGCAGATTTTCTCCAAGTGAAACAGATGTAGAAGGGGATGTTGAATGACTTTGTGATGTGAAAACCATGTATATGATTTACCAAACAGGTTTGAATGCAGTGCTCTTTATTGTATTTGTTACGTTGTTACTGAATGATCACTCTCCAGATAATGAAAGAGCTTCTATAATTAGTATTTCTGGAGAATTTAGATGGGTCAATTGATACTAGAAACCCTAGAAAAGAATAAATGCCAATTTTTATGCATTTGTCCATTCACTCCTTAGAGTTCTTTTGTTGCACCTGCTTTTTGGAGCCTACTTTGCATTTTAATTCAGAAGACCATTCAATTCAAAATAAGCTACAAATTCACATTTATTACCTGTAAATAAATGAGAATATTTTAGAAATTCAAAATGAAATTGAAGAGCTGAACTCCATCTGGGGAGGACTCTTTTCATAGGATAGTTTGGTAAGAGTTTGGCCTCCAGAAAACACAAGTCATGGTGTCCTTCTCACAGAAGGTGCCCACCAGCTCCTTCCAGTGTGACCCAGGCACACCCATGCAAGGTGAGAGTCCTGCTCAGAGCATGTGTGTGTGTGTGTGTGCACCCACCATCACCACAGTTTAGTTATCCGTGCTAAGGGAGAAGAGATACACACTTCCAAGGGCATTATATCCACCCTATCCTTACTGGCAGCAGGCTGGTTGCCAGCCCTAATTTCAGTCATAACTGCTAGTTAGTGTGATATTAAGCCAAAGACTTCCTTTTTCTTTCCCCTACTTAACCTCTAGAGAGAATATGGAAGAACACTAAGCCTTCAGCTGGACGTCACTGCCTGCTGCCTTCAGGGATCTAAAGTTTGCCGTAACAGAATACTGTGGCCTCTAAATAACTTGCTGATGCAACACAGTTGTTATAGTTGCTGTTTAATTAAGACCTTGCAAAGCTCAGAAAAGAAATTTTCCATCTAGTAGCTCATAACTGTTGTTGGCCATGCCATGTATCTATCAATGGGAATTTCTGAATTTTACTTAAGGTGTACAACATAATTTGCATAAATAGTAAAATTTGTTTAATTTGAATTTTAGGGACCTGTTGCAATGAGAGTGGCAAAACTAGCAATTAATCAAGGGATGGAGGTAAGTTCCTTAATGCTCAAGTTTGTTGTTAGAATGAATAGTGAAGGTTAATCTAAATGAACATGTTTAGACTTTTAGAGGGTTCTTTTTTTGTTTTCGTGTTTTGGTTCTAAGGATAGAACCCAGAGACACTCAACCACTGAGCTGTGCCTTAGCCCTTTTGTATTTTTACTTTGAGACAGGGTCTTGCTAAATTGCCCAGCCTGGCCTTGAACTTGTGATCCTCATGCCTCAGCCTCTCTGGGATTACAGGCGTGCGCCATTGCACCCAACTTCGACATTATGTTTAATATTCCAAAATATAGCTGTTTGAACGCTACTATTACTGAAAGATTCTAAGGTTCCTTTAGGCTACATCATTGATTTCATTTTGCTGTGATTATTGTTGAGTTCGTATTATAATCACAGAATTCAGAATTTCACCGATGCTGTGCAACTTATGATATGTCGGTTATTTTTGCCATTGCATTAATTAGATTCACTGACTAGTATTTCGTAGAAAACCAAAGGAAAAAGACATTCCGTATACTCTGAGCATCAGTATCACATTATGAAAAACATTCCCAGCTCTAAGCTCTCTTCCACGTTTGACTTGTTGATGTGTCTTCTGTAGGGTGTGCTGGGCATGCCCCAGGGACATGACTCCAGAGTGGGGTCCCTGAGCTGTGGGGAGTGGGCGGGGAGGAGTAGTGCAGGCACTCAGGTACTTCAGACTTTCAATGACAGATATTGTAGTTTGGCTAACATACAGGAATTTTGCAAAAAGGTGCTTCTTCCTTGTAGGCACAGGAGGCACTATATCTTCTTTGGCTTTATGTCAGTAAAAAAAGATGGAATTTGTAATAATTTGCAGTAAATGCAGCTTCACAAATTTGCAGGTATTTGATTGGATTATCCCGGTCCTTTCAGGATGGTGATAATACTAAAGCAAACACCTTACATAGCCCTTACCGTGCGACAGGCTTTCTTGTATCTGTTAGGTGCTTTATGAAGGCTTCACTTAGATAGACTCGTTTAATCCTTACAGTATGCCACCCCCAACCCAGTTTGGTGAGTACTATGATTAGCCCCTTGAAGCATGGAGAAGTTCAGTAACTTTTCTAAGTTATACAGCTCCCAAGGGGTAGTGTCAGGATTTGAACCTAGGAAGCCTGGTCTCAGGTCTCTTATAGTGGCCATATACTGATTGGTGGCACTATATCAAAAGATTCTGTTTTGGGGGGATAGGGTTATTTAATTTGAATTTATATTGACTATACCATATTTTGCAAAGTTACTTCTATTGAAATGAATTATGTTTTTATCCTCAGGTTGACTTAGTAACAGGATTAGCCATAGAAGAAGCATGTTATGCTCAGGTATGTAATATAATCACAAATTCAGTAAGGATGCACCTCTGGGTATTTCAAATGAAGTATATATCACTCAGTAAAATTTCCTTTATTCTCATTTCAAAATCACACAAATGGGTTGAAGTTAGTTGTTTCTACTCTTTGACTATTACCAAGTTCTGCTACTGCTTCTGCTGAACAGACTTGAAGACTCTGCATAATTCAGAAAACCCATACAGTAACCAGTTAGTGCTGCTCAGGCTGTGGCCGTCTCACGAGGCTTGCCCTGTCTCCTGTGCATGTGGCCTTTGCCTCTCACTGTAGTCCGGAGAGGCAGCAGATGGCCTGGGCTTGTGCCTCCCATGCAGCGGTGGTGTGGAAGGCTCATGAGCTTTTCTGAAGTCTGAGCCTTCTTTCCTGCCCACTGACAGTTCACTGATGAAATTATAGGGTTCTTTTTTTATATACAGATTAGTAGTTCTGTCCAAGAAGGAAATGTTTTCATTTCTTTCTTTTCCCTAAGAGATATAACTTTAAGGACATCTAAAAAGCAATAGCATTTTGTTCTACCTTTCCTGAGAGTTGGGCACTACATCAGATCCTATTAAAACATGGTAGAGTTATTAATAGGAGTAGTATCTAGAGTGTTGCTCTGTGTCTGGTCTGAATATATAAATTAGCTGTCATTGGTGAGTAATTCCCGGGAGTGAAGTAAATCCTCAGTCTCATATTATATGTGTATGTACGTGTATATAAAGCACATTTGACCATTTAAAGAAGAAATACCACTTTCATAATCTCTTCCAGAAAATAGATGCAAACGATACACTGCTGACTTGTTCAGTGAGGGCAGAGTTGCCCTGATACCTAAATCAGAGGAAGACATAGCACGAAAGGAGGAGGATCCACAATGTCTCTCATATGAGTATGGCCAAAGCAGATGAAAAGTTCCTTAATGATGGTAAATTGAAAGAAGAATTCTACTCTGACCAAATGGGATTTGTTCATATATACAAATCTTGTTCAACATAAGAAAAAAATCAGTGTCATCCATCATGTCAGTAGACTAAAGAAGGAATTTATATGATTATTATCAATTAGATACTCAAAAAGCATTTGACAGAATTCACTACCCATTTATGATAAAAACTCTCAGCAAACTATGAGCAGAGTGAAACTTTTTCAACTTGGTAAGAACATCTACAGAATGCTGACATCCTACTTAATGATCAAGAACAAGGCAAGCATGACCCCCCCCCCATTGTGCCTTTTCAGCATCTTATTGGGGGTCTTAGCCAATGCAGAAAAAGAAGAAAAAGAATAAAAGATGTACATATTGAGAAGTAAAAAATAAAACTTCACAGATGACATGATTGTCTAAGTGGGAAATCCCCAAAAATCATCTAAACAAGTTCCTCATAAGCAGTTAACAGCAAAATGTCCCACAATACAAAGTTAATATCCAAAAATCAATTGTTTCCTTATATAGCAGTGGAAGAATTGGAATTCAAAATTTAAAATGCAACACCATTTACATCAGCACTCCAAAAGTGAAGAGCTTAGGTACAAATCTAACAAAATAACATACAAGAGGTATAGGAATAAAACCAAAAACCCTGCTGAAAGAGACCAAGATCCAAATAAATAGAAGAACAAGCCATGTTCATAGTTAGGAAGATTGAGTTGTTGTCAAAATGTTAGTTCTTCCCAATTTAATCTATACGTTTAACACAATCCCAATAAAATTCCCAGCAAATTATGTTATGGATCTTGACAAAGTGTTCTAGTTCATTTGTGAAGTCCAAACATGCAAAATAACCAGGACAGAATTGCCAAAGAACAAAGCCAGAAGACTGCATTCCCTGAATTCAAGACATTGTGGTAATGGTGACAGAACAAACAGGGAGACAAGGAACAGAATTGAGACCCGTGAATGTAGCCAATTGACGTTTGACAGAGGAGCAAAAGCAGTTCAGTAGAGAGGAATTCATGAAGACAAATGGTCCAGAAACATCTGTATGTTCACAGGACAAGAACAGATCTAGACAGTGACCTTGCACTTCTCACAAAATGAATTGGAACCCTCGACGTAAAATGAGAAACTCTCACACTTGCAGAAGATAATTTAATTTTATGCTCTATGGGTTTGGCAATGACTTTTTAGTTACAACACCAAAAAGCACAGTCCATGAAAGAAAAAAAAAAATTGACATTGCCTTTATTAAAAACCTGCTCAGTAAAAGATACTGCTAAAGAATGGGAGATCCAGACTGGGAGGAAAATCTTTCAAACACATGATAAAGGATGTATCCAAAATATACAAAGAACTGTTAAGACTCAAGAATATAAACAACCCAATTAAAAAATGAACAGGAAAGCTGAATAGATACCTGTCCAAGGTAGATAAACAGATGACAAAAAATCAGAGAAATGATGCCAATTTCTGAGAATGGCAGGTTGGACAATGAGATGCCAGCACAGCCTGTTAGAATGGCTCAGATCTAAACATGAGGGCACCAGGTGCTCGGAGGATGGAGAGCTGCAGAAGCTCTCGGTCATTGCTGCGGAGGGTGTAAATGATTCGGAGACTCTGGGAGACCGTTGGGCAGGTTTTTGTAGGGCAGACATAACTCTCACTGTATGATCCAGCAGTCATGCTCTTGGTTATTTATCCAAATAATTTGAAAACTTATGTCCACACGAAACCCTGCACACCAAGCTTTATTCATAATTGCCAAAACACAGGAGCAGTCGAGATGCAAGTCTTCAGTAGGAGAATGGATAGACAAGTACATCTACCCGTGGAATATTAGACAGCAGTAAAAAGGCAGGAGCTATCAAACAGTAAGACGGTATATAGAGACCTTTAATGCATATAGCCAAGTGAAAGAATCCCATCTACAAAAGCTTCTCTGTTTTTCCAATTCAATGACAAGGCAAAGCTGTAGAGATAGTTTTGAGTAGGCACAGCACAGAGGATGTTTATAGCATTGAAACTTCTATATAATACTGTTGTGGAGAGTATCTGACATTGTATTTGTTAAAACCCTTACAGCAGGCAACACGAGTGAACCTCAATGGAAATGGATCATAGTTAATAGTGATAACGTACCAGGATTGATTCATCACATGTGACAAGTTTAACACACTAATGTCAATAACAGGAATCTGGGGCACAGCTTGAGGGGAGTACAGGGGCTCTGCCTTCTGGGGTTTTTGTTGGTGGTGGTGGTAAACCTAAGCTGCTGTGAAAAGTAATCTTTTAATTTTTTGAGTCCATTTGAAATAGGAAAAAAAACTTATTTGAAGTAATGAAAGTCAATTTGGTCACACAATTAGAATTGTTCAAATAACTAGTAGATTTCAAAATTTTAGAATGAACTTCTGACTAGTTTTCTTAGATACTGTTTGATAAAATTTTACTGTTGTGTTTTCATTTTGGTATAAATATATATTTTTTTCTTAGACCATTCCAACAAAAGACAGACTTGAAGGTCTTCTGGCTTTTAAAGAGAAAAGGCCCCCACGATATAAAGGAGAATAGAAGAAACAGAAGTTCTAATGATACCATGTGATCAATGTACTTCTGGAAGTATCTTTCAGATCCACTCTGATGCCTCAGCACATGGAATCTCAATGACCAAAGGGAAGAGCGAGTTGCTCGTGTCGTGTGTTACGCATCTGGAATGGACCCATATGTATACTTCATGCCAATGTGTATCATGTTAAATTCATTCAGATTTATAAAGCAAGTAGCATATATCGTCAAAAAACAGGTTAAAATTTAGGTATATGTTTTTAAATATTTCCTGCATATAAGGCTTTCCGTTCTTAATTTTTTAATGTGAATAATTTATATATTGCACATTCTAGGAAATAATATTGATTGTATGTCTACTGTGCTGCATTAAGAAAATAAAATTACTTCTGTATACCAAAAAAAATGTGAAATTATACCAAATAAAGTTTCTAAGTGGTTATGCACATAGGAACAGACACGCATACATCTCAACCTGAAAAAATGAATTGATAGATAGTCTGAGTGAAAACTACCTAATATAAATAAAATTAGTGAAAAGAAAACTTGGGAATTATTCTTACCCCATCCTCTTTCACTTGAATAAATCATTGTGTGTTGGACTTTAGAAGAAACTCTTCCATACTGATTCCATCAGGCAGCCTCCCGACATTTGGCCAGGAGCACACTGCTGTCCTCTGCCCTCTTCCTCTCTCTGCCCTCTTCCTCTCTCTGCCCTCCTCCTCTCCTCTCTCTGCCCTCTTCCTCTCTCCCTCTGCTTTCTCTCCTCTCTCTGCTCTCTGCCTCTCCTTTTCTCCTTTTCTTCCCCTTCAGGCAGCCCCTCAATAAAATCTCTTGGTTAAAAACAAACTCAGTGCCATCCGAGTCGAGGCCCAGGAGCTTGTGAAGCCCACAGGAAGCTTGATGCCATTGTGCTGCTAAGACCACCTCCCACAGAGAAGCCTGGTCCTCTGGTGAATAAAGACCTGCCTCTTGACAAAGGAGAGGAAAAACGGTGCCCCCAGGGTGGACCGCAGAAATGGCTTGGGTGAGGTGGAGACTCCTCTGCTTCCTGGCCCTAGCAGTCTGTATGTGGTTTTTGTAAGGGAAGGAGCTGAACACACCAGCCCTTCCACTTCCATGTAGCAGGGCAAGTGGGGTAAAGCCTTCATAAAAGGAGAGAGAGGCCCAGGCCTGTTTAGTGGCTAGCACCAGGCCTGGGAAAGCAGCATGGACAGGAGGTCTGCAGAAAGGGACGGACTGTCACGATGCTGTCTGGTCACCAGGCTTCCTTGTGAAGAGGATCTCGGGTCCGAGCCTGGGCGTGCCAGACGGGACTGGAAGCCTTTGCTGCATCGGTCAGCCAGGAACGGAGCAGCAGGCCCCAGTGTGCCTTCCAAGTGCATCCCACACCTGCCTGCCTCCCAGAGAGGTGTCCCTTTATGTTCTCTTCCCAGGGACGCCATTGCTGTCAGAAGGCAGGCAGACTTCAAATTCTGAAACTTTTAGTGTTCAATTTGGGAAATTCAACCCTCAGTCTCAGTTCTGAAATTCTTCAAGTGGTGGAGGTGGACCGCTGTCTTTGCTGATGTGTGTGTGTGTGCCAAGGTGAGGGCCACTTCCTTATCACTTGAGGTGCCGAGAGTGCAGATTTCAGATGATAGCTCTGTTGATCGGAGTAAATACAGAAGGAGCTTATTAAAATTCATGTTCGGCCCTCTGGTGACTGTATCTGGTGGCATGCATGCCTGTCTACTGATCAAACTTGCTGAGATGGTTTCACGCATGATAATTTGCACATAAAGTGGTAGCGCGTGTTCTCAGAGTGCTTTAAAGGTCTCAGGGCCATTTGGTCTTGTCTGTGACTTGCTAAAATGCCACTTCTATTTTAACTGAGCAGGAAATAATTATGTTAATGGGAAAAGGCTTATTAAGAGTGTGCTGAGTGACTTGTCTCTCCAGCTTGGACTCCTAGGCCAGGCTGCTGGTGCTGACTGAGCACCGTTTAACTTCCTAACAAGTTCTGAGGACGAAAGCCAAGTCCTGGGGTGAAATCAGCAAGATGAAAGTGTCTGTCCAGTCCTCTGCCCGAGTGTTCACCTATCTTGATTTTCTTTTCACAGGACTGCAGATTGGTTCTGGGCCAAGAGGTTATGAAGGGGCTGTGCTGCCTGGGGAGGGGGCAGCTGCTTGTCCTCCCCACAGAGTGTGTTTCTCTGAACCACGTCAACTCTGATGCATGCTAGAAATGCAGTGGACTTACCCGTGTGACTAGATCAGGTTGAAGGATGCTCAGAAGAGGAGGAAGATTGGTCAGGCACAATTATAATTCAGGGGATGAAAAACCCAGTAAAGAGGAAACACATTTCCTTTATCTCTGAACATGAGATCTAAGGGTTCTGAAATAGTTTAGCACTGGCTAATTTATAACCTACCCAAGACAGTAAAAGAAATCTCCAACTTCTGGGGCAAGAGAAAGAGTTCCAATGATGGCCGAGAGTTTGATTTTCTTTGATTCATTTCTGTAACTTAAAAGATCACATCAAGTTTGTATTCTCTTTAATAATGTGGTTTTCCCATCAGTCAAATCCCACCCCCTTTAGCTAACAAAAACTTGGCTTGTCACAGTGTCACTTTTCTGTCAGCGCTTAGGAGAGTGCTTTGTATGTGGGCCCTAGTAGTGGAGTGTCAAAATGAACGTTTCCTGTGGGCTTGTCCCTGGCTGGGTGTTGACCGATCTCCTCACTTGACCTTGACTTCCACCCGTGGTGATAGGCTCCACGTTTGGGGTCCCAAGACCCTGGCAGGCAGACGTGTTTAAACAGTCAGGCTGTCCTAGTTAAATGTTAACTGATAGGCATGCCACTACCTATTGAGCTTTATCAGAATAGCAAAGAGTATTTTTCTCATAGTGTATTAAAGAGCAACTACACATGACATACATGTGTCACAAAAGAAGAGACAACATTTTAAAGTTTTACTTAGTTGCTAGTATTTTGATAAAAGTCACTGTTCTGCATACATGAGGCAAGACACGGATTGTGATTTGGGCTAATTTGGGAGGTGCGGAGGTGGTGGATTTAAACCTCCACTCAAAAATATCTGTGTCTCAGGCCCTAAAGCTCCCTGTTTCAAATGCCTTTGAATTTTTACCATCCTTGACTTTGGGAACCTCCAGCATTTCAGCTGCCCACTGTGAGGCATAGCAGCTAATCTTCAGACAACTTGTTGGACGGTGCTTGTTTTTCAAAATAATTCCCAGGCAAGAGAGCTGGGTGCCTGATGGGAAAAATGAAGAACCCCAAGAATAGACATCTACCCCCCCATGATCAGGACCAGCCCTGGGACACTCGTCCATGCAACGCATGCTCAGGAGGCTTGGAAAAAAGATGTCCACTCAGTGAATGGACTGTTCCCTGGGGACGTGAGCCCATAGTAACCTGCATGGCACTTCTTTTGTAAGTTCTAATAAAACAGTATTGGGCGAGGGATGTAGCTCTGTGGTAGAGCACTTGCTTAGCATGCGTGAGGACCTGGATTTCATCCCCAGCTCCACACACACACAAAGTGGCATTATGTAATACGTCTTGAGGGGACATTTTGACAAGAGCACTGAACACGCCCCGTGAGGAAGATGAGCAAATAAGGCCGGATGTCGTCATCACACTAACACCTGCATTGGCAGGTACTGTCTCAGTCTTCATGGCCCCTGAGAAGCATCTGCACTGCAGTTCCTCCTGTGACAGGGAGGGGACCAGAGCACTGAGGTCACACTTGACTCCAGTCCCAGACAGATTGACACTAGAGCTAATTACATTTTTCATTGCTGAGCTTGAAAACTCAAATAGCCAAAGATGGCGACAGGTATGTTTGTACTAACCTAGAGAGACTAGTGTCCTTTACCCTGGATTTTCAACAATCACCTTGTGACTTGGAGAGCTAAGGGATGGTGTGCCTTACCATATCATCTGATAACAGGCAGGCAGGGTGGCACCTGGAGCTAGCACCCCCAGCGACTCCTTTAATACCAGGTGCTATATATGCATTTTCGCACCTGCTATCCACCAGCACCTTAGGAAGTGGTTTGCCAGTTTCTAGTTTAAGAAACTGAGGCAGAGTTCATGCTGGGCCTTCTGTGCTCAGGGTCCCAGTGTGTCACGATGACATAAGTCCACAGAGCAGTCTTGGTAGATGTGAACACTGCGTCAGAACTACAGGGTGCTAGTGGTAGTATTGGATGACTTTGCATCTCACCGTGCCCCACAACTCACTACTAGAGTGTATATATCATGGCTTGATAGCAAAACTTCTCAAAGAGGAGGTGAGCTGAGCTCCATGTGGGTCTAACCCATCCCAGCCATCTGGAGGGAAGGGTGACAAGTGTGTCTTGCTGTTCTGCCCTGGTCCGACTCGCCTGGAGTCTTGTATTTAGTTCTTAACATCACAATTCCTGGTGGTTATTCTCTGTTTTCCAGAAGGTTCACAGGAACTCTTTGGCCATGTTTCAGCTTCTCCCAAACCAGCAATGAGACCATGGGCAAAGTACCGTTCCTTGTAAAGGAATTTATTAGTTATTCATGATCATTGCAGAGAGACACAGTTGTATTGGGTGTGGTCTATATAAAAACGCCATCTAATTTGTAAGGCCTCACACAGATGAGCTCATGATACTTCATTTGTTTCCTGTTTCAGAAGAGACCTGTTGGGACAAGGAGGTGGGTTTCATGGCCATAGCCTTTTGGAGACGTGTCTGAGAACCGGAGTTACTCACCCTGGAAGAGACGTCTAGAGAAACATGGTGTCCGCCATCAGTGGAGCTGAAATCCATTCCCAGCTGGAATCTGAGGTCTTCACAGGTGCCACGTGCAGGAAGATAAGACTCTGTCCCTCCTTCATTGCTCTGCAGCTGTCCAGAGACACAAGATGAGGATTAAAGTTGTAGGAGAAGCTGATCAAGACATTGGTGGGTCCAGAAGCTGCTCCCTGCCTCTGGAGTGTGAGAGCAGAAAGTGGGCTGTGGGGTGGGGCAGGGCTGTGGGAACTGGTGGGGTGGAGCCTGAGGACAGCTGTTCCGCAGGGGAGTGTCAGCTTGCCTGCTGTCGGCACGGGGCATGCTCCATAGATGTGACAGATGGCCTTTACTACAGGTGTTGGTCAGGGGTCCCAGGCAGAGAAAACAGGTAAGAGCCAAGACGTACCAGTTAGCTAGCTACCTTGGCCCTTGGGATATCCAGTTTTAGAAATTTTCATTTCTTCAAAAAAAAACCAAAACAAAACCATCATTCTTGAGCATCGTATTTATAGTACCACTTTCAGGGACCAGGGTGGTTGGATTGCCCTGGAAAAAGATGCCATTTTTCTCATCACCCTGTTGGGCTTCACGTGGTGGTCTTACCTCCTCTAATAGAGAGGCGATGATGGGGGGACCCCCCCCCCCAGGTGAGTCCTGGCCAGGCAGAGAGCAGGGCAGATTCCTGCCTGAGCCTGTGTTCAACTCCGGGATCTACCTGCCAAGGTGCCTTTCAGCGGCATTCGAAAATGACTGACACATCAGATGCCCTCTGAA